CAAAAAAATACAAAATAAAACTGTGAAAAGATAATCTAGATTGTTCATTCACAATAAATGAGGTGGAATTAAATTTGCTTGCTCAAAATCACAGAATCATAGACTATATCAAAAACATAAAACAGTGTCCAGTCTAGATGAATGGAAAGGGATAGAAAAATAAATATCAGAATACTAAACAAAAGAGAAATATTTACCAATATTGATGTAAGACAAAAAACAAATCTAAGAAAAAAACATTAAGTTTATAAATAAGTCTATTATTTAATAGAAAAAGGGGAATTATCAGAAATATATACCAGTTTAGAAATGCTATACAGCAAAAACATAGCCTCAAACTATAGTATATACACCAAAACTGAAAAAATAGCTCCCTAGTCTCCACAATCTTAGTGAGGATGTTTTCATTCTTCTTTCTCACAGAATGACAGTTCAAACACTCACATAAAGTACAAAACAATATGAACAACACAATTAACAAAGGCAGTATTGCATCCTAATGTTAGAGAATACCTACTCACTTAAAAAACAGACATAAATTAACAAAACTGATCACATACTAAGCAGTAGAGGAAAACTTAATACCAAAACCTGATATCATATTGAAAATATTCTCTGAAAATAAAAATTAATCAGGTTAAAAATCAATCTGAAATACATATGTATCTGTATATGTCACTAATATATATAATTAAATAGATATGTTGAATATATAATATGTAATTTATATAATTGAACAGTTTAAGAAAGTTCTAAATAATATAATGAAGAAAACAGATCCATTAAATGAGTATATTAGTAAAAAAATGTTTGAATAATAAATAGCAAAAGCATCCAGCTCAAGTATCACAAAAAAAGTTAAAGAATTACAATGAAGGAAACCTTAAAGATAAGAGTAGAATTGTACAAAAAAAAAAAAAAACACCCCAGTAGGATCTAGATTAACAAAGGTTAACTCTTTACAGTGTCTATACAATTAGATAAATCTCAGTCAATATTGATGGAGAAAAAAGAGATATTGTAAAATTAAATAATATCAAATATAGAAATTCCAGTAAATATGTTCAAACTATTATTATTTTCAAAGAAGCGACATTTAGATTGCCTCTCAGCAGCAAAAATAAGTCTAAATGCAGTGGAATGATATTTTCATGTATTGAAAGAACACATGATGAAATAAAAATAAAACCTGACAAATGAGAATTCCATAACCAGAGGAAACTTGCTTCAAAAGTAATGGTATGACAGTATCATAGAAGAAAGAAACTGAGAACTTGTCGTAGCAGGCAGATATTATAGGAAATTCTGTAAAAAATGTCCATCAGGTACAAAGAAAATGATCTCAAAGATCATAGGTTTGGGATGTAAAGAATTAGGAACAAAGGAAGTAGTAAATATGTATACAACTGTATAGGATTTTAACTAAATAAACTATAATAAAGTCTTCAGTGTTTAATAAATACAGAAAGAATTAAGAAATGCAAGAATCCTATTTTGGCCTTTGTATTCTAAATTAGGAGCAGAGGTACCTGAGACTCTCAGGATAGTTACAGTGCTATTATACTGTCCATTTCATGAACTCGGATCCTGTGACTTAATTATCTTTGCATCTGCCAACACCTAATATATGGCCAGGGAAGTAGCATAGTAAAAGGCTTCTGTGGTCAATTTCTTGAAATTGAGTCCTGGCTCTAACTCTCACCAATTGTAGACCCTTGGCAAAATCCTTCAACCCATCTGTGCTGAGTTTTCCTGATCTGTAATAATTAAGATGATAATAGTTCCTATTTCATAAGACTGCTGTGAGGATTAAAAAAAAAAAAAAAAAAAAGATGTTCCCAGCACAAGATGCCTTATATTTGTTAGCTACTTCTATTATGTAAGAAAATAGGGCTTTCCATGTAAGTTAGTTACATTTTTACACAATTTGCCTAGTAGATATAAATATTTGGACTCATATTTAATAACAACTATTTATAAAATATTTTAGTTATGTTAAAAGTTTTTAAAATTTCTCATTTTCACTTTTGAAATTATTTATCTCTAGAATAATATAAGTAATATTAGCCAATGTTATACCATCTATTTTTTAAAAATTATTTCTTTTTTTTCTGTTACTCTTTTTTTTTAATTTATTTTTTCAAATACATTTGTCTCTGCCTACCCCCTACTCTGAAGAAATGCTAAGGCCCAAACCAATTCACTTCCCCTTGTTGTCAGCACTATTTCATTTTTCTTAGTTTATTGCCTTGAAAGTCAGGTTTTTCATCTCAGTTCAGTACACACTTCAAGATCATGCTCAATAATTAAAACAGTGTCCACATACTCTGAGATTCTATAACTACAAGGTATTTCCAGTCATAGTGTCAGCTCATTTGATTCTTACCTGAGCAAAGAATATTGTTTAAAAAAAAGACTTTTATGAAAGCCATTAGTCACTGTTATTTAGTACATAATTGAAAGGCAAAACTTTTAGCAGATGATAAATATTAAACAATAATGTTTAAGTCATCATTCCAAAAATGGCACTAGTCTTGCCAAATATAATTACTGACTGACCATACTAAGTTTGCATAAATGAGATTAAGTAAAAAGGGGATATTATATACATATGTGAAAGTTTATTAGCAATCTAAATTAGCTTACTAATAACTTTAATATTCACAAAACATTGTAATACTCACTTCATTTGCTATTTGTACTTTTTTAAAACACCAGTACTGAAATATCTCCCCAAGATCACTCTAGCTGCTTTTAGTCCTTCCTCACATTTTGGATCTCTTGGAAGCATCTGCACAGGACTCTACTTAAAAGAGGTGATATCAGTAATAGAAAATCTATCATCATTAGTATGAGTTCAGCCTCATGGTACTTTCTAACTCTGTCACAGAAAATCCTTGAATTAGTTACCTTAATTATTTTTTATTAGTTAACTAATAGATTTTTTATTTCATTTCTTTCTCTACCTTTACAAAAACCTTTTATATATATAACATTCTAGAGTATATGCATGGGAATCTTAAAATTGCAGGGCATTATCCTTAAAATGACTAAACAAAAGTAAACATTCACTATTCTAATTTTAACATGTTTTATTTCATTATCAGTACTGTATTTGCAAAATACACACAGAATAACTCATATTCTGTGATACTCATGCAACACTATAGTTTACAAACTGCTGTAATATTTCTCATAAACCTCACAAGAGCCGTATGAGACAGGTAGAGCATGTGCTTACTTATACAGGGTGGGTCAAAAGTAGGTTTCCAGTTGTTCGTCTGGAAAATAACACAATAAATAATAAATAATAATACAAGAATAAACTCTGTGTTTCATGTACTCACAACTGTAAATCTACTTTCAGAAGGCAGCTATGCTCACCACTGTACGTCCAACGCCAACTGTAAATCTACTTTTGACCCACCCTCTATTTTCCAGAGTAAGTAAAATAGAAAAGAGAACTTTCTATGGTTACATCACAATATAGTTACTCTTCATTTATGTGATTAGCACATCCCATTTGATCAGAGACTTCAATCTGGTAAGTCGGTCCTTCAATTTAAACATATAAATAACATAAGAACTCACACTCTTTATCCATAAGTCATCCTATAAGTAAAAAAAGGATAATAAAAAATAAATCAAACATCATAAACCTCCCCTGTAGAAATTACTCAGTTAGAAATATTGTTTTGTAATTTGCATTTATCTGATTCCCAGTTAGGTGAGTTAGATATTTACATAAGACCCTTTAATTTCATTTTTTATTGTAATAGTTCTCTGTTTCATTGTTGTATATTTGTCTATTTAAATTTCCATTTTTTAGAACTGTCTCTATTTTTGCCCATTTTACTATTTTATTTACATGTACTAGGACTTTAGTTTTCTACATATAACCTTTAATTGGTTATATGTATTCTAAATATTTTTTCACTTTGTTTGGATCTCTTTTATTTTGCAGAAATATCTTTTCCTTTATGGAGAACAACTTATGTATAGTATTTATGAAATAGGTATATTTCGTAATTTATTTTCTAATTTCTACTGCCAACTTCTTTGTTTATTCTCCAGTTATTTAAAAGGTTTTTTAATAACTATTTTTTTAATTTCAAAGAAATGAGAATGGGTAGAAGGAAGGAACACGTGAAAAAAGAGGGGGGACGTTGGTAAGGGTAAGTTACCATTTTCCCTTCTGATTCCTAATTTGCTATACTTTGTTCAGATTTATGGTTGTAGGACACTGATTCTTTAAAATTGGAGGACTTGGTCTGTGACTGGTATGTGGGTAACTTTTTATAAATATTCCATGCATTCTTGAAAAGAATGGGTAGAAAATCCTACATCATCTCAAGCATAGTCTAAAACAGATAAGCTTCTTGTTCTCCTTCTATGCTGATAAGTAGACTCTCCTCAAGTCCATCATTTTACTAAGGTAAAATTTTAGAGGAAGAGTCAGGTCAAGGAACATGTATAAAGGGCCCAAGAACAAAGACAAAGAGGTGGGAAGATTGAATGTGGGAGGTGGGAGTGGGTAGTGCAAGGGAGAGTAATGGGGAGAAAATGGCGACAACAGTAATTGAACAGCAATAAAAAAAATAAATTAAAAAGAGAATTTTAAAGTTATCAAATAATTACCATTAATAGGCTACAAAATTAGAAGTTTTACATGGATAAAAAGATTTAATTTATAACCATATTAAAAAATACTAATTACATAAAACCATCTAACCTTAAGAATAAAATTTTTTTTTGCTCTTATTAAATAAAAATTATAAGAGCTTTGAAAAATCACGGGTACACAAAAATGGATTTTTCCATTGGTAGGCAGGTCTGCACTTCATTTTTTGCTCTTTAAAACCTCTATATATTCTCGCATTATTCATATTCTGTATTTTACATGTATTATGGAAAAGTTATTTTCTTAATACCACATATAATTGCTCTTTTTCCCTTTATCTTAATTTGCAGGAATGTATCAAAGGGAAGTCACTGCTTACCAATTTGCTTTCTGTACTGATCAACAGGAAGTTTTACAGTGGAGGCATCTTTTCTACCCATCTTTGATCTCCAAAATGCCTGCTGCAAAGAAAAAAAATTATGATGAAAATCAAAAATCAAAAAAAAAAGCATTATCTACAAAATTGAAGAATAATTTATTCCATAAAATTCATTTTTAAAGCAATGGGTAAAAGTGCCTTTGACTTATTCCCATTAGGTATCAGTAAAGAACACGAAATTCTTTCAAATAAATTAGCAAGGATACAATTGCTGGTAATTACATTTTCCAATCATTTGTTCTTGGTAACATTCATTTTATCAAGTACTATCAATGCTCAATTAATGCACTATTAGAGAGAGCATTATCTGTAAATGCAAAAATAATGTAGTATTTATTCAGATGGCTTGAGGCTGTAGGCATGTTCTTAACAGTGTGTTTCTTCCCAATTACCTACTTTGCTACCTAACAAGGCTAAAGTTTGAATCTTAGATATTTTGAATTTTGTTTTATAAAACATGGCATAGGTAACAAAAGTATAGGAATTTGAGTTCTAGTTCTTCCTCTTTCTTTAAAATGGCTAAGACTAACATTTACTAATATTCTCACTCTTACTATATTACATGCACTGTTTGATTTAATCCACTACATAGCTTTCAACTCCTAGAATTTTTTTTTTTAGTTTAAATATTGTAGCTGAGGTAACCTTCACCAAAATCTATATTCTCCTTTTGTTCCTGGTACAGAGTTAGAATGTATTTCCTAACCTCAGTTCAAATTATGTAATTGAGTTGCTGTCAATAGAGTATGAATGGAAGTGATGTGTGTCACTTGCAGACCTGAGCATTCAAAACGCTCCCCCTTGAATCCTGCATTCCCCTTCCCTGTCCGATTGGCTAGGATGGAAATGATCCCTAGACAAACCCTAAGAGTACATTTGTTGGAACACAGAACCTTGGTCAGCCTGGGCTGGATAGGAGTATTCTGTCTACCACCATAGTACTCTACTGGAAAAGGAATGAACTTATATTATGATTGAGTACATTACATGTTGGTGTGGTCTTATTACCGATCCTAAGGGTCCCTCAGAGTGGTGCTCGTATGTTGCTCCTCTGTCTCTAGGAAGGAAGCTACAAGATAAAGATAAGTCGGGCAAGAATACACCGGGGCTTAAGCAAAAATATACGGGACTACAAAGCCAAATAATTTGGAGACCAACAAGGTTGGAAAAGCCAACTTCTAAAAGCCAAATAGGTGGAAATAAAAGTGAAAAAGGTGTTGAATAACAAAGGTCCACTAAGACTTCTTAGGTTAAAAAAAAGGGGGGGAGGAGATTAAGGATGTTCCTCTCTCACCTGAGCCCCTTGTTTCAGATTACCTGAAGGCAGCCACTATTGCATGCAGAGAGAAAAGCACAGAAAGTCCTGAAGCTTAGAAAGGAAGCAGGTAAGAGAACTAAATCTAGGATACACACTGCAGTGTGTCTACTGGCACATGGGACTAACCAGAAATGCTAAGAAGGTTACTAAAATCTGAGGAAACCAGAAATTCTCTCTACAAAAGTCTGTGAATGAAACCCAACCCCTGGGACTCTAAACTTAAAGCAGCAAAGTGTGCAGTCCTCAAGCAATGCAAACACTGTAGATTTGTAACATCCACTTCATATGAGATCAGAAAGAAGAACCATCTGGAAGGCAGAGCCACAGAGAACAACAGACATGAAAATTTATCTAAAAAAGATCATAATTAGGATATAAGTGTAACCACTGAACCAGGTCAAAATGGTCCTAACCTATTTAACAAGATACCGAGCTGCTTTTCAGAGACAACAGGCCAAAACCACAAGTCACACAGCCAAAGCGCTTGGAGGGGCGAGAGCTTTGACCTCCAGCTGCACCCGGATCCGAAGTCTCACCCTATCTGTCCGCCACCCCCCAACGCAGGAAGCCTTTCAGAAGCAAAGGGACCACTGTCTAGGAAGTCAGTGCTGAAGCCCTTTTACAATAAGTGGCCAAGCTCCAAGCTCCTCCAATTAAAATGTGCCCCACCAGCACTTCTGCGTACCTGCTCCCCATAACTCCTTAAAAGCCCACTTGAATTCTGGAAAGGGGAACTCAGGCTTTTGAGCCATAGCTTTCCCATTTATTCTTGCTTAGTGATCTAAATAAAGTGACTCTAATTTCTTCACTGCAGTTCTCAGAGTTTAGTGTTTGGCTCTGCTAGTGCCGGGTGGACACTCTTTCCGTGGGTAACATAAGCAAGTCACTTGTAGTCAGTACAAAGGGCCTTCTTAGCGGTCTCCTGTGTAGCAGGTTTCATCATCATGACAGATCAATAACTCCTGTGTTTTCCATTTTTCCCTTCCAAAATAGGAGCAATTATTTGAGATATGACTCAGTTTTCTTCTGCTTCATCATTATTCTTTAGGGGATTGGTGAGGCTCAGGAAGAATGGGCAAACTTCATAGTCTGTAAACCTCAAGGAACCACATTCCAATCTGAGAGCGGATGCTGCGGTTTGGCTGTACGTCCTTGACTTTGTGCTGGATGCAGTAGATAGAAACTTCTGGATCTCCCTTCTGGGGAGGCAGAAAAGAGGATGTGCATGGCCGTTTCATAACTAGAAAGATAGGCTATCGGAAAAACTGTTGGCTACTAACTGAAGTACATTCTCTCTTTCTAAGCACCCTGGGCTATATTTTCCAGCCTCCTTTGGTGCTAGTTGTGGGCATGTGACTGAGTTTCAGCTAATGAAATATGAGTATATGTCTACTATTCTAGAACTAGCCTATAAAAACTTTCCAATGTAATCATCCATCTGGCTAAAATGGAGGTAACCTCCAGAGTGACACTGGGAAAAAAATGTGATGAAGACAGACATTACATCTTGGTTGCTCAATAACTGCATAGGAATCAGCTATTCAATCAACATGTTTTCCTCTTTCACACTGCTGTGAGAACAAGAAGTAAACTTGCAGCATTTGTGTCTCTATACCTTTTGTATCTATTAGTTACAGTTAAGTAGTATCACCCTAACTAAAACAAATATGTTTAGATGTCTTCATATAAACTGACACAATTATCAAGGTGTAATTTTGCTAATGAGCATTATTAAGGCTCTCAAATACTAAATGAATTTGAATATGCTCAGACCAAACTCTACTGTTTACTTATATATGGTCATACTGAATAATGTTAATAATGCTCCCACATGATATAGTAAAAGGTGTCCCCAAATTAATCATTCTTATATATAAGAAAATTATAAATTAAACTAAAAATCTATCTCTATTTATAATATTATCAAGTTTATATTATGGAAAAACTTAAGAATATATAAAGTAAAACAAAAAATCAAATGTATTAAGTTTTCTCTCCTCATAAAGAACGTAAGTTCTTACATATAAGATTACACACCTTTAAAATTCCAGAAATAAAACCAGAACATGACCTAATCCTATATTCTCAAATTTTGTAATTCAGAACATTAAAAATAATTGTTACTACAAGTACCCTAAAAAAGTCAAAATATATTAATTCATACAGAAACCATTTGCATAGTACTTTATATTTGTTCATTGTAAAGAGGAGTCAAGTTATTTTACTCTTGATTTCTTGATTGTGTGGGGATAAAACAATACATAACTTAAGTTTAGGAGAGAAGTTAGTTTAAATGAATAAATGCACAAAACATTATTCCCTGTTAATTTAGTTTTGTCTTTTGCCTTTATGGAACACCTTAAATTTTAAAAAGCAAATTACTTAAACTATCTACCAAAACAGGCACTCACTACTATTCCTCCAATTCCTTCCTTCCTTGTCACTTAAACCAACAACCCAACAGAGATAACACTTTCGAGGCCAGTATTTTATTCACTCATTACTTGTAGTAAACAAAAATAATAGATCCAGAGGCAACGTTTTTCACCAAAGTTAACTGAAATTTACTTATTCAAAAATAAACTTGAAATATAAAATTAAGCCAAAAAATCTAAAGAACCTAAGTTTTTATAATTTCATTTCACTTAATGTAACCTTCATTTCTGCCTGGGTCTTTTCTATACTGTTGCTGTACTCAATGAGTTTTTCGAGCATCCGGACAACCAGTGTTTTGAACTCTGCATATGATAGGTTGCTTATTTCTATTTCTTTTAGTTCTTTGCTGGGGTTTGTTCTGTTCTTTCATTTGGGCCATATTTCTTTGTCTCCTCAATTGGCAGCCTCCCTGTGTTTGTTTCTGTGTATTAGGCAGAGATGCTTTGACTCCCTATTCTAGTATTGTGGCCTATTGTAGAAAGGGCACCTGTAAATTGTGTGGGGCGGATCCTTAGGTAACCTCCAGGGCAGGGCAACCCACTTCACTGCTTTGTGGCTCTCGGTCGTGGGAGTGCTTGGAGACAGGACAATGCTGTTACCTGGCTTCTAGAGATTTGCCTGGCACTTGCCCTGTTTCCAGTCACTTCACTTTCTCCCCATAGTGCCCTCCCAGCTGTTTCCCTGGTGCTGAATCCAAGAGGTGGTGGGCCTCTCTAAGTTGAGTTCCCACAGGCCCTTTAAGAGGAGGCTGCTGAAAAGCCAGCAAGTTCTTCTGCTGCCCCCAACCCCCACTGGTTTTTATAGCCAGAAGTTATGGGAATTTATCTTGCTGGTGCTGGAACCCTGGGGCTGTGTGGTCTGGCCTGGAGCTGGGATCCCTCAGTCCTGAGGTATCCCTCCTATTTTTATCCACCACACATGAATGTGGGACTGCCCAGTCTGCCGCCCCTCCATGCCTTGCTGCCCATCTTTGCATACTTGTCCCTCCTACCTGTCTTGATGATTGTGTTTCTTTAAATCCTTGGTTGTCAGACTTCCATACAGCTTGATTTTTCTGATGGTTCTGGGTGATATTTGTTTTCAGGTATAGTTATAATTTCCACTGTAGTTGTGTGAGAAGGCAAAGCATGTTTACCTATGCCTCCATCTTGACTGGATGCTCTATGTTTGTTTAGTGATTGGTAATCCCTAATCAAAACTTCAAAACTGTAAACTTTATTCTTGTGTTTATTATTTTTTATTCTTTAAGCAAAGTGACAGTCTACCAA